CGCCGCCGCCGCTTTGTTCTTCTCTCCCGCCGCCGGAGGCTCGGATTCCGGTTTCTTTTCGTGGTGATCCGTATTTCCGGCAGCCGGCTTTCCCTGTTTTGGTTTTTGCGGCTCTTGGCGCTTCAGAATGGAATTCGGAGGGCCAGACGGAGCATATGGAGGCGGCAGGTTGGGGGAGCTGTCCCGGATGATCTGCGGTTGCGGCGGCGGCGGGTGGGGATCGGGGTGCCTCGGAGTTGGTGCAGGGACGGCGGCCGGGGGTGGTAGAGTTGCCTCCCACATGGGTTCCGGTACCTGATGAAGTGGTTGATAATGGCCCTGCAGGTGGCGGGACTCGAGGAGGGCGGCGAGCGGATCGGCGAGGGAGCGGAGGCGGTACTCGAGGAGGGCGGCGAGGTTAGGGTTACAAGGGTGAATGATCTCTCTCACGTTCTGTATCAGCTGGGGAATCGACACCTGCGTTGAGCTGTGGATTAGATCCTTAATGATGCCGTCGATCCACGCCATCGGGCCGTCGCCGGAACCGCCGTAGCTCCCCATCACGGGCGGCGGTTGTACGGCGGCGGAGACGTTTCGGGTCAGAGTCTGGGCGGGGAAGAGGGGCAAACCGGAGAAAACACACATGGGAAAAGGAGGAGGCTCGTTCGGGATTTCATTCGGTGGTAACGGCTCCATGAAAGCCGAATGTGTGGCCTCACACCCTGACGTCATCGTCATGCCTGAAAGAGAGGAGGCAATTGGCGGCGGCGGTGGCTGCATAGCGGCGGAGTAGCCGACGACGGGGACAGGGACATCATCATCTTCCCTGAAGCTATTCGGGGGAACCCTTAAATCGCCGGGGACAGGGACGTTCATGGCCGCCGCAGCACGCCGGAGGAACCTGTTGTGCTCGGCTACTCCGGCGCCGATCTGGAGCTCCATCTCTGAGGCGGCACGCTTTCTGGCCATCTTTCCGGTGGCGTCGGAAGGGACAGAAGAGAGAAGATGATGATGATTGTGGGAATGAGACGCGGTGGAAGATGAAGGTAGAAAGATTGCAGGGTGGTGGTTGTTGCTCACATTCGCCGCCGCCGCCGTCCCGTCACCGATCATGGGATATGTCTTGGCGGCCATGTGCACATAAAAACTTTACGTTGGCCGAGGATTTATTAAACATGTTTCCATTAGCACCAGATATATTGAAACTTCATTAGTCTTTACAAGCTTTCCGTGAGGGCATTGACAAGATTGGCGGCAGAGGAAACTGGCATAGTTAAAAAAAGAAAAAAGAAATGAGTCTCATCCTCACAGGGTTCCCTCGGATTTAGTTGGACGATTATTAAAAGAAGGTAAATTAAATTTTGATCATAAATTGGTGATAAAGAATGAAGTCTGTACTTGATACTTGCAGAAACTCCATGCTGGTATACTTAGCATAGTTAGTTTACTTTCTCTAAGAATCGAACTAGGATTTTATCCTCTTACACTATGTTTGGTTCAAGGAAACAATGAATTTGAAAGGAAAAGAAAATAGAATAGTTTTCCCTCAATTTCCTCACCAGAATGGGAGGAATTTGGTTTTGAAATATTTGCACTAAATATCACTAAAACTTAAGTCATTTTTCTAAATAGCATTTAAATTGTTTTATTCTCTAAATAGCACTTAATAATTTCCATAATGACCAGTGATGACAAATAATTACCTGAATAATGACTAATGGATAATGACTAAAAGTGCTACATTGGGAAAAAAATACATGTAATGCTATTTAGAGAAAGTCATTAATTATGTTTTAGTGCGATTTAGGTAAATTTCTCTTTTGGTTTTCCTTCCCTTGGTACTTTTTGCCTTCTCAATTTCTATTCTTCTACTTTTCTTTTCTTTTCTCTCTAATCAAATAATGAAAATATTTTCCTTCTCATTTTTTTTTCTTTTTTCAATCAAATCCATACTTTATTTAAAAAGACATGGAGTCAACATATAGTTTTCCCGCCTAAAAAAGTGACAATTACAAATGGCAATTATGAAGTTAAAATGGTAAGTGACCGAAATTATTATAAAGTTTTTGTTTGGTAAGTAATTACCAACGAAATGGTAAGTAATATTATACTGGTACTTAGATCTAATGGTATGTAATGATAGTAACATGTCCGAAATGGTTTTAAAATGGTAAGTAACCAACATTAATTCTTTGGTGGAAATGTCCGAAATTTTTGCAAGAATAAGTAACTGTCATTTTTAACCTTTTTTTGTATAAGCGTGAAGTTAATATAGCTATTATTTTTGTAACAATTAACGTGAGTAATATAAAATGGTAAGAACCAATATTATTATGAGTACTGATTTATTATATGCTAATAATTAACGTATTGACTTATGTTTTATATGCTACTAATAATAATTAAGCAACGTTATTATGAATTGGAAACGTCCGGAATTTTTGCAAAAATAAGTAACTGTCATTTTTAACCCTTTTTTGTGTAAGCGTGAAGTTAATATAGCTATTATTTTTATAATAATTAATGTGAGTAATATAAAATGTTAAGCGTGAAGTTAATATAATTATTATATCTATAATAATTAACGTATTAAAAAAGGTAAGTTATACAATTCCAAAGCGTAAGTTTTTAATAAAGGTAAGTTATACAATTGCATAACGTAAGTTTTTGAAAATTAGAAATAATTAAAAAAGGTAAGCTATACAATTATACACCGAATTTCATAAAAAAGAAATAATTATGGTAAGAATAATTATACACCCATTTTCGAAAAAATTTAACCCTTCTTAAATAAAATTCGTGTTTCTGGTGTACCGAATCATGAGTTAACTTTGAAGGTAGGCACGCCTATTATGTTGTTGAGAAATATTGACCATTCAATGAGATTATATAATGGTACACGGTAACCGGTTGGCTAATCACTCAATACAAAAAAAAATATTATCAGGAAGTCATATGGGTGAAGAAGTCGTTATTCAAAGACTATCATTAACACTGTCCGATACAAGAATTCCATTCAAGTTTCAAAGTAGACAATTATCTGTGGTTATTTCGTACGCAATGACGATTAACAAGAGCCAGGGACAATCTCTGAAACATGTTGGACTATTGTTACGGAAACCTGTGTTTAATCGTACTGGATTAAATATTCTGATATGCAATGAAGACAATATTCCCACAAACTGTACAAATAATGTAGTCTTTAAAGAAGTGATGTTTTTTACCTTAAAATAATATAATCTCTATATTCTACTGCATTTTATTTTTATCATTAAAAAAATGATTTGAACTTAATAACATAAAAATGACCCGTGCAACGCACGGGTGTGATACTAGTTCTTTGAAACAAAAATATACTCCCTCTGTCCCAGAAAGAATGCCACGTTTACTATTCTGGTCTCGATAACTTTTGTTTGTTTACTCGTTTTGGTTGACCATTTGATAAAATAAATTAAAATATACTTGTCGCATCTTGTTTTGTAGAGCTTTTCATATACTTTTAAATGGTATAATTTTTAATTTTTATTACTCTACCAATTTGAATTTAAAGTTATTTTAAAAGAGATAATATTTTGCTCGTTCGAAGTGTTGCAAATAAATTGGCACGGAGGGAGTACTCCGTAGCGTTGAAGTTCTTTTACTACTATAGTTTTTAAGAGATGGATCTGCCATTGTGTGTGCGTCAGTCCAATTGCAAAAGTGTGAATTGGTATCAGACAGAAGAAGCCTATAATTCATTCATTCATTAATGAGCACAAAGTCAAATGCACAAAGACAGCAGTAAGATAACACTCCCTTTTGGGGTAGCCCAACCCCAATTACCCAACCCAACAAAATACCAGAGCTGCCCCCTCCCATATTGAGCTCTACCATTTTCCTCTTGGATTTTCCCCTTCGTTAACTATCCATAATGGAGTTTTGAGAGAAAATGAAGAAAATCTCTAGAGAAGTTTTTGAAATGGAAAATGCTAGAGTCACAAACATATAGTTCACAAACTTCACAAACTTGTTTTTTGTGGATTTTAAATTAAAATATCTTTTATTAATTGAGTGCATCTTATTTTTAGGAAAGTGTTAAAAAGGCAAGTTTGTGAATTTTGTGAACTGTTTGTTTGGGACTCTAGCATTACTCTTTTGAAATTTAGACTCACTTATATAATTCTCAACTCAACTTGCCAAATTAAAATATGATAGGTATGACTAAGATTCATAAAATGAATGTAGACGTAAAAATTTTCCTAAAATCAATGGATGCATATAGTATGTCTTATGCTCCATCAGTTCCAAAATGATATCATACTTTAGTTTTAGAAATTTAAAAAATTTATATATACTCCGTACATTAAAACTTAAAAGGAAAAAAAAACTTGGTGAAAGATGTGTGATTGAAAATTGAAATACATACTAGTAGTTGGACTTGGGACTCTAAAAGACATACTCCGTAAATAATTATTCATTTCATTTATATATATATAAGTAAGGAGTATAAAATTTACTTAAATAGCACTAAAATATAATCACTTTCCTTAAATAGCATCACATGTAGTGTTTTTTTCCCAATGTAACACTTTTAGTCATTATGCATTAGTCATTATTCAAGTAAATATTCGTCATCACTGGACATTATTAAGTGCTATTTAGGGAATAAAACAGTTTAAGTGCTATTTAGAGAAATGACTTAAGTTTTAGTGCTATTTTGTGCAAATATTTCTATAAATTAGTCCACATATTTGAGACATTAAAAAAAAGTATGAACTTGAGTATTTCTAGAGGAATACAACTAGGGCAATCTTAACTTGTGGGGTTACCAAGACTGTGTGAACGACCCATACATGTAAAAAAAAATATTTGCGTTCCTGGCAGGGTAAGTCAGACAAAATTTTTCTTGCAGTGCCATACGGAGTTACTTAATTCGTTTCTCCTCGAATTATTTATTTAAACGGAGTTCGCTACTCCGTGTCAGGCTTTTTTATTTTTAATTAAACCCATACGAAGTTAGCTACTCCGTTCTGGTTCCGTCTCCATTAAAACCCATCTCTCCTTTCTGCAACGCCCCCATCCACCCATTATCCATCCCACACGGAAACAAAACAAAAAAGAAAAAGAAAGCGCAGGAAGAGAGACCACCAGAGGAAGATCGGAGGAAGACCACCGGAGGAAGACCGCTGGACGTGATTGGACTATGCTACTCTGTTTCATGGAGGTATTTTCTATTTTTGACTTAATTTATATAAACATTTATCATTTTATGAAAATAATGAGATATATATACTTATTAATGAAAATGTGAGATTCATAAATCTATTTTCTCATAAATTATATACGATTTATACCAAGTTCAGAAAATTTTTTATTCTAATTGTTATCTACTTTCAAAGATTTTGAATTCGATTCTTAGAATAGATTTAATATTTCTTATTGATGAAAATTTGGAAATTTTTTTATTTTGAGATTGTAAGATAATTTTTAACATAATTAGTTACTTTATGAGTTTTTTTATTATAATTTTCTTGTTTTGAATTTATTAAATGAATAAATTATTATGTTGTCATCTTTGAAGCAAATGAATTCTTATTAAATGAATAAATTGTTATGTTGTAATCTTTGAAGCAAATGGATGTTCATTGACTTCATTCGGGACCTATTTCACAAGATGTTTTAGTTCTTGAACCCGGATAACATAGGTGTGATGCGGTATGGGCAAGCGAAGAATATGCTAAAGTGATCTTAAAGTGTCATAGGACTTCTTCCAGTTTATATATATATGAAGAATCTTGTTCCTAATAGGCCACCTCGTGTAATATAGATTTTACAAGATTATGAATTTTATGGGGTGGAGAAAGTTGGTGGATTACAGTTGGATTGGGCTTTGATTATTTCTTTAGTTGAGAGATGGAGACCCGAGACCGATTCATTAAATCTTCCCTTTGGAGAGGTGGGAATTACTTTGGAAGATGTTGAGATTTTTCTTGGATTGCCCGTAGATGGCATTTCATTGGCGGGAATCACTGGTCGATCAAAGGATCAGTGGATTCAGATATATGACGACATGATGGGATTTAGACCTGAAGCATCTGATATTACCTCTTCTATTATTTAGATGCCTGCAATTGTTCCTAAGGCGTTGACAAATCATAGTGTAGATGTTGATTACCTACAGCATGCTAGAGCTATTATGTTCAAGTTGTTGGGTGGTAGCTTATTTCCCAACACGACGGGAAATAAGGTTAATTAATTTGTATCTGCTGGAGGTAATCATGGGTGACACAAACCTAGTGCCGGGTCGTGCCATTGGTTCTGCAGTTCTTAGTTTCTTGTATCGTAGTATGTGTCGTGCTAGCATGACACATGCAGCACAGATTGGAGGGTGTCTTGTCCTGTTACAGCTTTGGGCATGGGAACGTCTGCCTGTGACTAGACCTAGGGGCGTTGTACCATTGGAGCAGCTGGTTAATGTCCCATACACAGTCAGGTATTTACAATTTCTTTATGCCTATAATGGATTTACTTAGTTTATTTTATTCTTGTTAATGTTTGATCCTCCACTTGTAGATGGGTGTGTTATCATCGGTGGTCAGATTCTACGACACACTCCTTACGAGCATATAGGGACCAGTTAAATAGGTTGCTCGAGGGAGATGTAAGTACTAATAACATCACAGTGTTTTGCATACATATTTAATTTTAAATGTCTATCGTATTACTTGTTTATGTATGCAGTTTGTTTGGATGTCGTATCCAAATCTCGAAACCCTACCACCCTTTTATTCAACTGTACTCCGAATATGGATATCACACATCCCTTTGATCTATGGCTATGGTGTGGAGATGTTATATCGAGATTGGTTTTGTAGACAGATTGGTGCCCGCCAACACGTTCCTCTAGATGTCATGTAAGATCGACACCTACATAACATTAAGTCGAACACTATGGAGATTGGTGATAGTGAGAGACAGTATTTAGATGTATGGGAGGGATGTTACGCTACACATGTGCCGATGGAATTTGGGATGTCGGATGCCACACCTGAGTATCGTCAGTGGTATTACCTTCGTGGTCGAAGACAGATAGCAAACCCCGCACATTAGTACGGAACAAGCTATGTCTCCATTTCTTCCGAGCTACAGACCGCAGTACGTATTAATTATATTCAATTTTTTGTCATAAATTTGTATGGGACTAATCATAGTATTGTGTGTAGCTATATTGTATGGCGGATTGCCACCAGCGCCTTGATCCAGGTAGGCACCCAGATGGTTTTGTACCTTCTCACGAGGTAGTTCGAGTTCATGACTTGTTAGGGGAGTGTATGTGTGCTCTTAGACATGCTTCTATCCTTGATTACCCACATGAGTAGCCAGTCTATAATCCAGGACATATTCGGAGACGGGTAGATAGAAGGCGCAATGCGGCTGCTGTTGGGGGCAGATATTGTCTCCGCCACCTACGAAGCAATTTCTGGAACAAGTTCCGAAGGAAGAAGCTGCGGACCTTGATGTACAAAGCTGGAGAGGCCCCAAGCAGAAGCGAGTTTGACCATTTGCTTCTCCAAGTAGCGTCCAAAAATCAAGAAGCTTACAACTGGCTTAATGCTATTCCAAAATACATTTGGGCATTATCACAAGATAAAGGTGGTGCACCTTATGGTATAATGACCACAAATTCGTCTGAAAGCTTCAATAATATCCTCAAGGGATGTCGCTGTTGGCCCGTCTATGCCATTATGAAATTCACCTATGATAAATTGGTCAAAGTTTTTGCTAAGAGGCGAACAAATGGATATGTATGGCAGTAATCCGGGTATAATTTTCCTATGAGAAACATATTAGGAAAAATGAAGAAAATATGTTTTATTGTCGTGTTGTGGAGCACCATGCACAACAAGGGATATACTCTGTGGTGGTGGATGGGTCGTCCAACATTGCTCAGCGGGAGACATTTATGGTGAACTTAAATGCACAAACATGTAGCTAAGGTCAATGGGTAACATTTCACATCCCGTGCAGTCATGTCCACGCAGTATGTCATAACTGTAGTGTCACCGTGGCTCATTTGATTCCGAATGTTTTTTGGATTCGGTCCGACATCAACGCTTACTCTAGCATCATAATGTCGTTTTCAGATGAGGCTGAATGGCCTACTCTAGAGTACGAGATAGTGAGACCAACGCCGCGACAGAGGACACGAACCGGCCGTCCTACGAGAACCCGTTGTCCGAATAACATGGACTATCGACCATGGAGACATCGTAACGAGGAATAACTTGTTATGGATTATATAGTAGGATATAAGATTATATATTTATTAGTTTATTATTATTGTTGTTGTTTTTGTTGTTGTTGTTGTTATTATTATTATTATTATATTGTAATCTAGGTTTTATTAGGTGAGCGAAATTATAAGCTCCTTCGAGGTTTCTTTACGGTTCTTTCCCTCGTCGCTTTTATTGAACCGTCAGGTTAGGTTTATAGTTAGCTAGGGTTTCCTTGTCTCCTATATATAGAGATGTAACCCCTTTAGAATAATCAATCAATAAACAACTCAAAACCCTAATTCCTTCTCCCCTCTCGGTTCGCCGATTCCCTCCTTCGCCTCAATTCTTCTTCTTCTTCCTCGTCTCTTATTCTTAAGAGCTTGAAGACGCTCTGAGTCTTACCTATCCGATACGGAGTTCGTATCGTTGGTGCTTTCATAGTAGGATATTAGATTATATATTTATTAGTTTATTATTATTATTATTATTGTTGTTGTTGTTGTTGTTGTTATTATTATTATTATATTGTAATCTAGGTTTTATTAGGTGAGCGAAATTATAAGCTCCTTCCAGGTTTCTTTACGGTTCTTTCCCTCGTCGCTTTTATTGAACCGTCAGGTTAGGTTTATGGTTAGCTAGGGTTTCCTTGTCTCCTATATATAGAGATGTAACCCCTTTAGAAAAATCAATCAATAAACAACTCAAAACCCTAATTCCTTCTCCCCTCTCAGTTCGCCGATTCCCTCCTTCGCCTCAATTCTTCTTCTTCTTCCTTGTCTCTTATTCTCAAGAGCTTGAAGACGCTCTGAGTCTTCCCTATCCGATACGGAGTTCGTATCATTGGTGCTTTCATTGATTCACAATCACCAAAAAAAACAACAAAAAAGCAAAAAAAAAGGAAGAAAAGCAAATTGTGGAACGTACAGCAAAATTGGGGAATCTAGTTTGGCAATTTGATTTTGAGCCGTACACCTCCCATTGCAAACTAAGTGCAGCAGATTGGGGAATGCGCAGCATACAAATTGATTCGCCGACGTTCGGTGCGTGAGTGGATATTTGCTTCTTTTTCAATTTTCTTGCTCAGCTTTTTGTGGTCGTCCAAATAATTCATAGCACTTAATCTTGTGCCCTCCGTCACACTAGATTGCCAGCCGAATTGTCCTAGCTGCACCAGGTCAAGTTGCAACTCTAATCATTATTTTGTGTGCTTTGATTGGCACAACCAGCGACGCAAAAAAAAACAAAATTGTTCTGCTACATTTTTGTGTGGTCTAGAAGAATTCTGTAGCAAGTTGCTTTATGTTTGTGTGCATGGTCTTTTTTTTCTCTAATATGCAAATTTAGTGCTCTTCCAGTAGAGTTTTGGGCATTGCTTTTTACATCAAGAATTTTGGCCTGGGTAGTACATCCGTATTGGTAGACCTATGGCCTCCATTTTGGATAAAATCATCATGACAATGGATGATATTTTGGACAAACTTCTTGGTTTGTTGAAGAATATCTTTTATGGAAGAGTTGAGTTTCAAGACGGAGCCTGTATAGCTTATGATCATGTGGATGAAATTTTGAAGACGTTCCACTTATTTCGTCATCTTTTAGATCTACCGTATTCTGATTCTGAGTTATATGCGTTCAATGTGGAAATCTCTTGCTCGATACAAGATTTGGTGCGTGGTACTCCAATGGCATTGAGTGATATTTCCTTGGAGTTAAAAAGTTTCAAAATAAGGATGATGAACGCTATAAGGAATCTTCTCGGCATTCCCATTGCTCCACCTGATCTAGTCCCCACAACCACTCTACACAATCCTACATCTACTGATGTGGAGCGTACGATTGGGGATTCAGTGAGAGTTCCTGCAGTTGATGCTGGTGGTGTTTCTGTTGAAGGTATTGTTAATGCCTATTGATACGCACGTAGATGCACCAGGTAAGGGAGAAGTTGCAAAGGATCCAACATTGAGCAATGTCATCATCACATGTAGCCTTGTGCCTTCGTCCAAAACGGCCCAAGTAGCAGATGTAAATTATACGCAAGCGGACATCTCACTGTTCTTTGATATCATCCAGTCCTCTGCCCACGCGAATATAGTGGAGCCCGAGTATTGGGTTTCACCGCCGGTAGCTAAGTTTGTATATGCTCTTCTCTCTTATGTCCATCGTTGTACTCCAATTTGCAGGCTTAATGAAGATCTATCATCACGTGGGCATAATCTTTGGGTAAACATTTTCTCTCCAGTCTCGAAGCATGAGTGGGAACCTCCACCTTGAGGACAAGGTGGTTTTCTAAGGGGGTGAGAGTGTTATGGATTATATAGTAGGATATTAGATTATATATTTATTAGTTTATTATTATTATTATTATTGTTGTTGTTGTTGTTGTTATTATTATTATTATATTGTAATCTAGGTTTTATTAGGTGAGCGAAATTATAAGCTCCTTCGAGGTTTCTTTACGGTTCTTTCTCTCGTCGCTTTTATTGAACCGTCAGGTTAGGTTTATGGTTAGCTAGGGTTTTCTTGTCTCCTATATATAGAGATGTAACCCCTTTAGAATAATCAATCAATAAACAACTCAAAACCCTAATTCCTTCTCCCCTCTCGGTTCGCCGATTCCATCCTTCGCCTCAATTCTTCTTCTTCTTCCTCGTCTCTTATTCTCAAGAGCTTGAAGACGCTCTGAGTCTTCCCTATCCGATACGGAGTTCGTATCATAACTATGTCATGGATTTTAGTTATGTCTGAGTTTATGATTAATTAAATTCACAAAATAAGTTAGTCATGGATTGTGTTTTGTAATCTTATTTTTATGAATTAATTGTATGTACTCTATCAATAAATTTCTTGTATTTTTCTTATTCTTTTATTTAATTTTGTTGTATAAAGTTCACTTAAAGTCAATAAATAATAATTTTATTTTAGATTTTTTTATAAAAAATTAAAAATTTTATAAAAAAATATTTTTATAAAAAAAATTGGAAAGGTTTAAAGGAAAAAAATTGGAACAAAAAAGGGAAGGTGGAACCATTTAATGATTAATAAAATTATCATAAAAAAAAGAAGAAGGAAACATAGTAGCTTAATCCATTTGGTAATTAAAGGAGAGAAAAGGATTCGGCTACTCCGTTTGAATAAATAATAAGGCCAGAAACGGAGTAGCGTACTCCGGTTGGTTTTATTTGGGAAAAATTGAATTGAAAGAGCATATAAAGGAATGCTCTGCATCCTTTTTACACCGGCAGGGAATTCACCCTACCAGGACTTCGTGTTTTGCACATACACACACAAACAATACTTGTAAATATTGCACCGATAATTACTATGCAAAGAATGTGGTCATGATAACTTTATAATATTAGGGTTATGCTAGGACAATGTTAGATTATAAAAATCATTTCTGTTTATACAACTATAAGTTTGAGCATTAGGTTGGTTTTGGTCCTTGACATGCTATCTGAGTCTTGTTGATCAAGAGATCACGGATTTAAATCTCAATGACATCCAATTTTAATAAAGTTAATGTTTACGTGTAAAGTTTGAACACACAATTCTCGTCTCTATGTGAGGAGATGTATTAGAGTATAAAAACTTTCCTCATCCTACAATCATAAATTTAAATTTTTAGTTGAGATAGTTCGTTCGGTAGTGGTATGTTTAGCTTTGATTATTGTACTATTAAGTGTAACAATTGCGACCTTTCCAATTACAAATTACAAGCAAGAAATGCCAAAAACTCGCTTAATTCCAAGGAGGCTTCAACATACATTTTCTAATCTCGTAGACCCAAATAGAGCCACGTTCACAATGAAAGTTGCAGCAGGCGAGGATGTGCGTTATCAATTTATTAGGGAAGAAAAAGCTCATGGCTCAATAAGCTACTCCCTCCCTCCGTCTTGAAATTTTTTTCTCAAACACTATTCATATGATCAGACTTAAATCCCTTTTTTACTCATTTTCCTTAGTTATTTGATAAAATAATATAATCATGTCACCTCTTATTTTATAGAACTTTTGATATAGTTTTTAAAAATATAATTTTTATTCTTTAATTTTTTTACGTACAATCAAGTAAATTAAATTGAAAATAATTTCAGTCAAACCTCGTAATTTGAACTGTGAAGAAAATTTTAGAACGGATGGAGTATTATTTTGATGTACAAAAATGTAGTTTTCCGTATTATACCCTACAGTTTAATACTAAATTTTTATTAAATCGTCATTCCAATTTCGTCTAAATTAATTAAGAATTGATACTACAGGCCTAAAATTAGATATTTTCAATTTTCAAATTTATCTTTTTTGGTGTAAAAATGTTATTATAACTGAATTTGATCATATGATTACATAAAGACCCGCTATTTTTAATAACTACTAGATGACCTAATTATTGGCCCATTTGTCTTGGCCAAATACTAACCCTAATACTACGCACATATTTTAACATTCCCCCCTAAAGTTGGGAATGAGAATTACGAATGAACAATTTGGACCATAAAAATAAATAAAACTATGGGGTCTGGGAAAGAAGCCAAGCTCACCTTGTTTCCTTTCCATGTGCGTTCGGCTGAGTGGAGGGAGCGGCTTGACTTCGGAAATTTTACACATCATCCCTAACTAAGACTAATTTTGTACCAATTGGGGTACACTTTTTGGTCACAGTCAAACTCTACACAATGATTTAGTTCTCATTATTTATTGACAAACTTTATAAATCACTTACTTTTAGGTCCTTCTCAGTAATGAATTAATTATCAATTAATTAATTTTGATACACCTATATTTGGGGTGTTACATAGGATAGTTCATCAATTCTTGTGTTTTACCTTAAACTAAAATATAGCATAGGAGTCCGATAATCAGAATAAATTAGTCTTAGACTAAAAATAGTATAAGAGCATTGTTATGATTAGGTCATAGACTAAGATTAGTTTAAGAGCACTGTTGATACCATGAATAATGAATACTTATACTGAATATTATGTGCATGATATCAAATGATTTGATTATGAATTGAGATTTTGTTTATATGGATGTTCGATGCATAAGACATCCTTACTCAACTTAACCACTGAGTGTGTAGTATGTTTTATTTTCTACACGTAAAAAACAAAATAAGAAATGATGATGTGGATCCTGAGGCAATTGGGAATGCGATAATGGATGGATGTGTGATTTCCCTGTTCAAATCAATAATTAAAATATTCATATTTTGATGTTGTGTTGAAACAATTATTAAACTTCTGCAAAATTATCATGAACTTCGACTATGTTGAATTGATATTTATGATGAAATAAAATGTGTGAAATGTTTTAAATTTTTACGTTACCAAGTTAATACTTTAGTCTGAAAGGGCTACAGGCCTGGATGGATTAGGGTGTTACATGGGCACTGCCAGTAATTTCTTTATTTAAGAAACATAAATATATTTTTTAAGGGAATATATACGTAATTTCCAGACGTGCTGTAAATCTCTATAGAAATAGTAATTTTGGTCAATTGACTCTGTAAATATATGATGAGTTCTTCTAGACGAAACGTAAAGCTGTAACTATTTCGGACTGTGTTTTGGGGTAATGATTGGGTTTTCTTGATGAATCAAAATCCAACAAAATCCTATAAAATTCAAGTGATAAAATACATTAAAATATATCTAACTCTGTGTAGACTAAAAATAATCTATGAATTTTAAACAAACTATTAAAATCTTTTAAAATATGAATTGAATACACTCCACTAAGAGTGAGATGAATAAGTGGGATTTATGACTTCTTGTTTCAGGGCTCGGTCCTAATACAATGAAATATTTTTGGGTTTGGATCAAGTTCTATTACTTTGATTATCAACAAAACTTACTTCCTTCGGCCAAAAACGATTTTGATGTTTTTAAAGTAGTAAATTATTTTTTGACTTTCTAAAATTACCTTTTATTATTTCTCATCCACAGAGTAGAGTCTTCTTCTTTGAAAAGAGTTTTGAAGGTATCATATAATATAAATTTTGAAGTCTAGACAAATAATGCGAGTTTTGAAATTTAAATTGAATTTATTTGGAATGTTTTAAAATCATGAATTTATTATTATATCGAGATCCAAGGACGGCCGACAATGGAGTGGTTGGCAATAAGCCGATAACAATTATAGTTAGGGCAGGGGGTTATCGATAGTTGATGAAGATATCATACCTCCATGTTAATCCTTTATATATAAATTTGAGAGTTCAATTCTTAAGAACTTGAAATGTGGCAAATTAAGAACTTGACATGTGGCATTTTAAGAACTTCACATTTGGCATATTAAGTGGCAATTTAACCAATTTTACTCTTCAAGTATTTTACTTTTTTTTACTCTTTTCCGAGAATGATAACAACTTATTCTGAACTCATAACTAGAAATTTAGAATTAACATCTTTTTCCCTAGAATTTATTATTTTTGATAATATTATTTAATAACTTTTTCTATCTTCATTTATAATAGAACTTTCAATTCCCTAAAAAATCAATTAATAAATAAGTTGCATTTTTATCTCTAAATCAATGTCGTATGAGTACTTTTTTTGTGATATCTTATGATTAAGTTAGTTTTTATTTTAATTATTATAATAAAAATTTAGTTTTGATTATAATTATTGCAATATTGATGTAAAAATTTAAAACAAATAAAATATTTTAAAAATTACATTAAAATATTTATAAAAATACGACTATACTATAATTTAGTTATAATAGAACACAATACTATATATAATTTCAATACAATTGTTTACTCTCTTCTTTAAAAAAATATTTTATTAATAAATAAGATGATTTTTTTACATCTAAATAACTTTCATATGAGTATTTCTTTATTATATCTTAATATGAATTTATTTTTTATTCTATTGATTTTATGAATAATGTAACATTAAAAAATACAATTTCAATAACTACTTTAAGAATTTTAAAATTCAATATATTACTAGACTAAAATAGAAAAAACATTTAATTATAAGAAAATTTCCTCACCCGTAAATAAATTTTATACTTTATATTTCTTTGTGATACTTTTAAACAAAATTAATTTAATTATATTCATTTAAATAATATAACTTTATTTTTTTCACTTCATATATAATAAAACTATCAATGAATAAATAAGATTTCCTTCCCGAAAAAAATAGTTTCTTAACCTCTAAAAAAATTATATTTGTATAGGACATGCTTAAAT